AACTAAATTAGACTGACTATTTTCACAAATAGAGTGTAAAAAGAAACATTTTTAAAAACAGAAAGAAAGATATTTTAATAAAAAAAAAACAACCACATCACTAGACTTTTCACACTTTCACTTTGTTCGATTATCAAATGACATGAAAGGTATTCATCACTGAGTTTGGTTTTGGGAAGACACATTTGGGTGTCTACACGTTGTCGTAAGTTGTTTGGCATACACCCTCACAACTTTTTTCAACCCTTGTAAACAACCATCTGCACACAACACATTTTTCTACAAAACAAGCCATATTTAGAACACGATGCTGACAGAGGTGATGAAAGCAGATCAAATGGAAGTAATAATAGGGAAAGGTCAATAGTTAGTCCAAATGACGGCTCTAGGATAAAACACCTACTCTTGTTAGCAAATTGCCTCTCCCAAACCCTTTCGTATATTCTAGATGATACCCTAACATACTACAGAAAGACATAAACCAACATAACCATAAACCAATTTTATTTTGCAAACAAATTTACTTTCAAACAATTTGAACAAATTAAAAATAAATCTAAAGTGTGCATTACCTGGTCTTAAACATTCCCATGAACACTTAAAATCGAGCCACATAGATTGAACTTCACATAATCTCCATCCTAACTAAACAGGGTACATTCATTCCTACACACATGATATCCCTTAGGGTTCGTTTGACATCGCTATGGTTTTCTGTTTTTTGATGTTTTGCTTTTCAAAACCGTATGATATATATTATATAATGAATAAAAAATTAGTCGAACTTTTTAAAATCATGATAATTTTCAAAACTAACAACAGATTAGTAGAAACATCCTTTTCTTGTTTCCTATTTTTGGTTTTGAAAAAAAAAAAAAAAAACTAAAAACTAAAACAAAAAATAATGCCAAATGTTTTAAAAAAAAATAAAAAATAATGCCAAATAAATCTTAATACTTGTGCTTCAAAAAACAAATCCTAATACTTTTGGTTGTTAAAATTTTGGAGTGATACTAGTCGCATAGTTCCTATATGCATTTGTTGCATATAGGGGGGCAATTCTGGAAATGCTCCTTGGTTTGTGTTATTTGACTTCATGTTGACCCCATTCTAGTTTGAAATGTTACGGGGATGCTTATTGGGGATATGAAAAGGGTATTACCTTCTCTTTCTCTTATTTTGACTTCCTAAATTCTCTCTCTCCTGAAACTCCCTCTTTCTCTCTCACTTTGTCCAGTAAGTGAAACTCCGGAGTTGTCCCAATTTCGTCCCTGAAAAGGCTCCGGAGCTCCCGGATTTTTGGTGTTGGTGCGGCGTTGGCGATTTGCATCATCTGTCGTTGAGATTTTGGTGGAATTTGTCGCGTTTTTGTAGGTACGAGTATCACTCTGCTTCCATGTATTGTTTGCCGTATTTTTTTCAACTTTCGGAATCGTTGGGGTGGAGTGATTTTGATTTCATACTGTGGTTGTAGTTCGCGAATTAGGGTTCCAATTACTCGTTTCGAATTGTACATCTTAGTTTCTAGGATTTACATTCATAATATTCATAGTATAGTTGTTCTTATATGTTATCTTGCGTGAAATTGTTCTCATGTGTTAAAATAATACCGAGATACAAGTTTTTTGGGTTAAATTGTGTTAAATTGTTCTCATGTGCTAAATTGTTCACATGCTTAATTTTGATAGCTTTAACTAATTTCAATTGAACATGCATAGTTTACTTGTTGTTAGTTTGGCATGGTAGATTTTGTAATTGTTGGGTTTGTTGTTGAGATATTATTTCCTTGTATGAGATAATTCGTATTTCCAACCCACTGTGTTATTGCTTCATTGCTACTTGGGGGGGGGGGATCTGAAGCATGTATTATTATTATGCCAGTGGGATTAGGTTGTTCTTAGGTTGTTGGTTAGTTTTGATGTGTCTGCAAAATTTGCGGATTTGCTAACCAGATGATTAATTTATTGAATTGTTGTAAATGTAGTTTTAAATATGGAATTGATTATTTTCTATAATTTAATTATACTGTGTATGGTCTGAGGCATTTGTGTTATATTAGAGTTCCATCTCTAATCTTGTAGTTGACTCTGGTTTATTTCCTAATTAGATTAGTGTAGTTTTTGATTAGTTATATGGGTTTTTGGAGCAAAGGCTTAAAATTTTTGGAACTGCTGCATTTGAGGTGTATTGTTTGTTAATGTATGGTACTATGTAGTTGTAATGGTATGTACATTTTGATCCATTGGAAGTGTTTCTACCAGAGATGTCAGAGTATATTGTGAAGTAGTTTTTATTGATAATTAAGGTAATTTTTATTATTTTCTAGGGTATTTTGTGCACTGGTGAAGAGGAAAGTATCAGAAGTTGCTTCTAGCAGTATAAATAGGAGGGTATGTGTGTGGATCATTTATATGGTATTGAATTATGTTTTATATTTATTATTTTTTTTTGCTGATGTTATCTGTAATGTGTAGGGTCAGTTAAAAGCTGTGAATGGAGAGGGTGTAGTGCCTATCAAGAAGGGTCTAAACAAAGGGAAGAAGAAGGTGAGAGAAGATCCAGTCTTTGAGGAAGAGGAACTGGAAGACACAAGTAATGAGTATGATGATGAATATGATGAGTATGACGATGATGAGGATGGAGAAGAGGATGATGAGGATGCAGAAGAGGATGCAGAAGATGATGCAGATGAAGAGGAGAACGAAGAATTGGTAAATCAAGCAAGAGTCCAGGGTATGTTCCTGAAGTTTCTTCAGGAACAAGCTAAGTATAGAAAGAGAAAAGGTGGAGGAGGGGTTGGTAAAAAAAAGTTAAAAAGAGCAAAGGTTTGTGTTGTATTTTTGTATAATGAATTTGAATACAAAGTGAGGGATGATTATTAAATTTGGGTGTCATGAAATGTTAATGTAGGTTGAGTCTGATGTGAATCTTGGTCAAAGAGTGATGCAGAAAGGAGTTGTTATCAAAACTCAATCTCGGACAACGCAAAAGGTAAAAGAAATTTTATGTTTTGGTTTATGTATCAATTTAGATGTGCGTAGATGTTTGTTGGTTTCTTCCTAGGCTTCAGTATAGGTTTTACATAATTTTGATGTTATATCTCTGTTGGCAACATGAAACTAAGGAACTGTTTGATTTAATATCCCCTACCTTGCTATTTTTCGAGTGGGTGCCTCCCTTGTCATATAATTATAAGTGGTTATCTGTTTTAAGATACCTCTCTGGAAATTGTGTTTCCATCTTCCTCAACACATGGAATATAGTATAATTGTCCCATAAACTTATTTGAATCACTTTATATGCTTTTCAAATCCAAGTGATTTATATGTTAATTTAAATGGTAGTGTTAATTTTCTGCTTTGTAGGTTAATTGGACTAAGTATTGGTAGTACATTGTGTTATGGATTTAGTATTGTACACTAAGTATTTCTTGTATCTTGTGTATTCTAGGCCCCCAACCTGAATGGTGTAAAGGCTTTTGCAAATCTGGTGGTTCAGTTTGATGAGTCTAGGAAGAAAGTTGTAACTGAAATGGGTTTTGGGAGCCTGTTAAAGATACCGCTAACTTGTTTTCCTCGTAAATTTGTGTATTGGTTGTTGACTAGAGTTGGTGGTGATGGATCTGTAATGTTTGGGGATGGATATGTATTTCCACTTAGCCCTGTTCAAATCCAGTGTGTCCTTGGCATCCCGATGGGTTCGAGACAACTGCCGTCGAACATTCTTGATGATGATAATGTGAAGGCTGAAGTTAGTCGTATTAAGGGTTTGTTTGCTAAGGGGAACAGTATATCAGTGCCTATTGCAGGGGCTGCTTTGTTTAGGTGGGATAGTAATGCTCAGTTGGTGCCGCTAAGATCTGAAGCGGAGAAGTCGCATTTTAGAATTGCTTTTCTCATAGTTGTTCTTGGGTATTTGCTTTGTCCAACTACGAACACAACCAAATTGGCAAGAAAATTGACACCAGCTTTGATAGTGTACCAAGAAACGGGGGAGTATGACTGGTGCAGTTGGACTCTTGATTGGCTTTGCTGTGCAGCAAACAAGTTTCAAAAGAAATTCACAAACAGAGGATATGTTGCGGGGTCTGGGGGCTGTTTTCCGTTTTTGTTGGTTAGTTTTCACTTGGTTTCCATTGTAGGGTATCCATTGTACCCTTTTTTTATGTTAATATTTATCTTTGACTAATGTCAACTACTGCATATCTGTCATTTAGCTTTTTTACATCGACCATTAGAGGCGCGTGCCGGTGCAATGGGAAGTGATGCCGAGGATTATGATATGGACTCCGAAGAAAATCAAGGATGCGCTTAATGCCGACATATTTCCCAGTGGTGATTATGGGAAGATGAAGGTACATTGTATTTTTTTACACAAATGTATGGCATACAGTTGTATTTCAAATAGGATGATATATGATGTTCATGTATCAATGAATTTGTTGTTGGTGTAGTCAACGAATGTAGCATATGGTGAGGCGCATCCATTAGGAGATCGTGATACAACAAAGAGTGAATTTGTTGTTGGTGTAGTCAACTCTCGGACCTCTGAGTCGTTCTCATCACAATATGTCTTTCCAAGTACAAACCTGCTCAGAAAATATGTTAACTTTGTAACAAAATTCCCAACAAATGGCACTTCATTTTATAAGCATAAAACACACATGATACAACACAAGCAACATGCAACGCATTTAGAATATACCGGGGGGGAGGGAGTCGTAATAAGAGCTATACTTTTAAGTCTATGATCACCATAACAACAACTATAAAGTTCAAATTCTTCAAATACCACACCTAACACCAAGTTAGGAACAAATCATTAAGAAAAAATTCTAGTAAGGAACAAATCAAACATTTTCCCAGATATCTATTAATTAAAACACAACCATAATGCAAATTAAAACTATAGAACCAAATAAGAACTACCATACCTTCAAGCCAACTATTATTTTGCAACTTATAGTGCTCAATTGCATCCATCCAACGATCATCAAACTCCTAAGGAACTAAACTTCCATATATTATATTTTTCAATTCATCACTCAATTCTTCATATTTCCCCAACTTCCCAAGATACTTTCCAAACTTCTGCAGAATATGCCATATGCACCACCTGTGACATGTTTGATTCAAGACCAAATGAACAACTTTGCGAATGGCAGGATCTTGATCTGTAAGTATGGATGTTGGAGCTTTATCACCCATGCAATTCAGCCAAGTCTTGAACACCCACACATACGTCTCGACAGTCTCACGGGAAATCAACGCACAACCAAACAATATACTCTGCCCATGATGGTTAACCTCAAGAAAGACAGCAAATGGGAGATGGAATATGTTCGTCAAATACGTACTGTCAAAGCATACAATGTCGCCAAATTCTTCATAGGCAGCCCTACTCCTTGCATCAACCCAAAGAACATCCTGCAATGCGCCATCCTTCCCAAACCTACAGAGGTGGAAAAAATTCTGATTGTTGGAACTCATTTTTTGGAAATACTCAATCATACCATTTGCGTCACCCTCGGTCAACTCCAATTTCTTCAACTTAGAAACTATATTCTCCAAATCTTTTTACGTAAAGGCCAACTGATCAACCCCATTCCTCTCCCGAGCAATACAACTGTACGTTTGTGAAATTTTCACCTTGACTTCTTGGCATTACAGGCCTGTTTAACCAAATGCTTATTTTTAGCAAGCAACTCATGCTTATGAAACATGGAAACATCCCTTGCTTTTCTTGGAGTGACTATGTGCCTTTTATGTTCCAAATAAACCTTGTGAATAACCCAATCCCCCGCCGCATTTACACTAGCATACAACTCCACAGGGCATGAACACTTCTTTGTTTTCCTTTTTTCAACAATCATTATCTTGCGCCAATCCTTCCTTAAGAGGATCAACCTTTCGCTTCCTAGAGGGTACACCATAATACTCACAAGTTCACTTCGCATTCCTCCTATGTTTGCAAAACTTACCATCTCCCAATTCACTCTTCACCTTAGCCCAACTAGATGCTGCTCTAACTATGCCAAATCCCTTCTGCCTCGCATACCTCCAGAAGTAGCTATCAACTACATCCCAACTACCAAACACCATACTAATGGCAGGTGGTTCCAGTTCCTCTTCCTCCCCTACAAAGGTATCAACCAATACCTTCCTCTTGGGGGTAACAACAGAGGAACCCCCAACATTTTCACCTCCACCAGAAACCCCACCATCCTCATATTCCATTTCCATACCATCTTCAACCTCTTCCTCGTAACTAAATTCCCCATTTTCTTCACCCTCACCCTCTTCCTCACACCAGATTTCCTCAACATCTTCACCATCATCATCACCATCTTCCTCTTCTTCATCAATCATATCATCATTCCCAAATTCTACACTACCCTCCCCCCACAACAGTATCATCAAACCCAAAGCTCTACAATAAACATAAAGGCACAAAAAAAATACACACAAATTCAATACAACATCCGACCAATAACATCAACACACATTCTTTAACTTATAGAACACACATAAAACAAATCAAATCAACTCCATTATCAAAGGTCCATATTTTCTTCGACACATTATGTTAACAATTCTCCATATCCACACATTCAACATTTTAAATTAGCATTTCCAAACCTAAATGCTGAGCAAAATTTAAATCAATTATGTTTGTTGAGCAAAATTTAAATCAATTATGTTGTGAAGACACAAAATATTGAATTCTTCTAAACAACCATGTATTAAATGAAATTTAATTGAAGCTACTACTTACATTGTCATTGTCGAATTGAAGCTCTTTCGCGCAACCTAAATTAGAGCCTTCACTCAACGCCTCGGCTAAATCAACGCCAAGCAACTCCGACAACGTCCTCATTCTTCACATATCAGCCCTACGACTGCAATATGAAGGCTAAACAGAGTTCAAGAAGTACAGATGCATGTCTCGTTTGGAGGTGAGAAAATGCTACAATAATAATGTTTCCCCCAAATCAATTTCCCTTATAATTTAGTGAAGACTAAATGAAATTAGATTTTTCCGCTTTACAAATAAAGCCCGTTACACTCATATTGCCCCGTTATGCTTTTCCATGCCAACTGTACAAGGCCCCACCTTCAACTTCAATTTATTAACACTTTTGCCATCTTATGGATTTCTTAATCCATAGGAACTATGCACTAGAGATTGTCCAAAATTTTGTATAAAAATGTAAGTCTGACACTCTCTCTTGTGATTATTACGGCGTAATACTACGAGTCCATGGTACAAAATTATACGGATTTGCCTTAGGGCTGGCAAACAGGTCGGGTCGGGTCGGGTTCAGGTCGACCTGTTTACATAAACGGGTCAGGACCCCCCAACCTGAACCCGACCTGTTTACTTAAACATGTCAAAATAACCAACCTGAACCCGACCTGATTATAAACGGGTCGACCTGAACCCGACCCGCCTAAATCTGATTTTTTTTTTAATTAAAAAAAATAAAATAAAAACCTGTAATTTACTAATTTCTTTATACTGTAATTTTTTTAACCTGTAATTTGACTAATTTCTTTAACCTGTAAGATTCAAGTATTCAAGACTTCAAATTCAACACATAATTCAAGCAAACATAACTTAACAACATAATTCAAGAAAATCCTGCTGCATTAGTGCATTGTCCATACTTCATAGTTTCATACACTCACAACAACAACTAAAACTTGAAAAGTAGCTAGCCAACAAGTCCAAAATATTTCCAAGAGTTACATGTCCAAAATACTTCCAAGTAGGCAAATAAAAGTTCAACTAGAAAACCAAATACATGTCCAAAATAACAGTAACAGTTTCATCAACTAATTTTAGAAGAAATTAACAACATAATCAAGTTTGACTCTCCATGACAGCAGGACTTTCTGGTGCACTTTGTGGAGGGCTGGGGCTGGGAGTATCCCCCACATCATCGTTGACTTTCATGGCCATGATTTTTCCACATAAATCTTGCAATTGCGGATCCATATTAGCTACAACCAAAAGAATACATACAAAAGTTAATTTCAGCCTTAAGCATAAATAAAATAGTACAAAAAAGAAACAAAAAAAATTGTAATTTTAAATACATAAACTATTTTCATACCTTCACCAAAAGTCCAATCTTTGAGGCAAATGATAGCTTCTGCTGTGTTTGGTTTCAAAGAGCTTCTATAGCAGTCCAAAACTCGACCACCAGTACTGAAGGCAGATTCTGAAGCTACTGTTGAAATAGGGATTGCAAGGATGTCCCTTGCCATCTTTGAAAGAATTGGATACCTCACAACATTTGTTTTCCAATGATATAGAATATTAATGTTGGTTGCACGAGGAATCAATGGCTCTTCCAAGTAGATTTGCAAGTCAGATTTAGCAGCAACATATGATTTGCTAGAAGAGAAGTTATCAAAGTCCTAAAAGATGTTTAAACAAAAATTACAATAAAGCATACAAAAAACAGAATTTAAAGTTGATTATCAAACAAAAAGCAAGTGTTCACAGTTACCATCATAAAAGAATCAGAAGCAACATCAACTTGCTCTTCATTAGGCTGTCTAGAAGAACGGCGCCTTGTTCGTGGTGTTGTTGTGGAAGCCTCAGTCACATAAGCACCATATAAATAATCCAACCTTTCCTTGAACTTCACCAACTCATTAGTACCCTCTATTTCCCCATACACCTTCTTAAAAGCCCACTCCACAAACTCATACTTAAATCGAGGGTCTAAAACAACAGCCACAACCATGATTATGCTAAAGTTGGTCCAATATTTAGCAAATTTCTCATTCATTCTTGCTGCCATCTTATGCATGAAGTTATCAGAATTTTCAAGCTCCTCTTTCAAGAGTAAACGGATTTTCAACACATTTGGGAAGTATACATTAGCGGTAGGATAATTAGTACCCGAAAAAAACATTTGTCACATCAAAAAAGACCTTCAAAAATCTAAATAACTTCTCTATTCTCCCTCACTCCTCATTTGTTGGACAATGAATGTAATTGGCATCAACCTTTTGAAAATGAAGAAAAGCTTTTTTGTAGTACAAAACATTCTCTAACATCAAATAAGTTGAATTCCATCTAGTAGGGACATCTTGTCTCAATCCTCTACTTGAGTCTAGTTCAACATGTGCCACACAAGTCAAAAAACGTTGCTTTCTAGCCTGAGACCCTTTACAATACTTCACAGTTTCTCTCACCTTAACAACAGCCTCATTAATTTCTTTTAACCCATCTTGCACAATTAAATTTAGGATATGTGCACAACACCTCACATGGAAATAATCCCCCCCACATACCAAATCAAGTTCATTTTTAATTACATCAGCAAACACATCATTAGAGGAAGCATTATCAAGAGTAATACACATGATTTTCTTTTGGATACCCCACTCTTTAAGAAAATCATAGACATGGTCAGACATATGGACACCGGTGTGAGGTGGAGGCAAAAAACGAAAGTTCAGAATTTTTTTTTGCAAATTCCATTGATTATCAACAAAATGGGCAGTCAAAGACATGTAACCATCAGTAGTAATTGAAGTCCAACAATCAGATGTAAGAGAAATCCTACCCTTAACTACACTCAACTCCTCCTTAAGTTTATCTTTTTCCCTCTTAAACATTTTCAGAACATCAGCCTTCAAAGTATTTCGAGACACAAGTTTAACATCAGGATTTATGTAATTAATCAACTTCCTAACAGCACTATATTCAGCAAACTGAAAAGGCAAATCATGTTTCACCACAGCAATAGACAACATCTCACGAACAATATCATAATCAATTGTAGGAACCCTATTCATCATAGAACCAGAACTGCTTGAATCAATAATCATCTGACCCACATCTTTAAAGGTCCTTTTTTTACATTTCTTAATGTGGCGTTTTAAATTACCAGTTCCTTGCCTACTTTCAACATTATATTTCTGCCCACATTTTTTACACTTGCAAATGATGTTACCTTGTTCGTCAGGTTTATCAAGGAATTCAAAATTTGCCCACACATCTGAAGTGAGCTTTCGTTGGCGCTTGAAATGAATTCCAGGCTTATTCAGCGAGGTGACATTAGAGGTTTTCTTCTTTGATTCCGTTTGATGAGAATCAGAAACTTCATCATCTGAATCAGAATCCGGAAGATCAATGGGTTCATCAGGATTAGGGCTATTAGCCATCTGTGAATAAATTAAAAAAAGAATTACACTCATGGCATAAAAGATAAAACATGAAAAACAGAAGTATAAACTCATGAGTCATGACATAAAGAATCAAACTCATGAAATTGCAGAGTAAGAAAATCAAATCAGGGCAAAAAATCGCATAAACAAATCGCAAATAATCACAAAATAAGTAAATAACAAATCAAATCTTCGAAAGAAATTGCAGAGTAAGAAAATAACAAACGAACAACATTAAATGATTAAATCACATAAACAAAGCATACATAAACCATAATAGCAAAAAATCGCATTAAAAAATCAAAGAAATCTGAAAATTGCATAACCAAATCAAGGAAATTGCATAAACAAATGACTCATGAGCAAACAAACTCATAAAAATCGAATAATAGGATTATTACCTTCAGAATGTTTGAGATGAAGCTTCAATCTTCAAGGTTCAAGCATTTTTATTTCAATCTTCAAGAGTTAGAGAGAGAAAAGAGAGGAGAGAAGAGAGAGAAACTGAGAAGAGAGAGAGTTTGAGTGAAAGAAAGCGGCGAGAGAAAGAGGGAATTAGGGTTAGATAATTTGGGCTTGGCCCATATTTTAAAATTAGGGTTTTAAGTTAAGCGGGTTGGGTTCGGGTTGACCCGACCTGAAACCGACCCAATTAAAATAAACGGGTTTATGCGGGTTGGTTTCGGGTTGGGATTTTCAACCTGAACCCGACCTATTTAACTTCAGGTCGGGTTTGGGTTGACCCAATTACATAAACGGGTTGAAAATCTCTATCAAAACCCATTTATTTCGGGTTGGGTTCGGGTCGGGTTGTCGGGCCGGGCCAGCTTTTGCCGGCCCTAATTTGCCTTATATGAAAATCAAATTAATTTTCCCGCACTCTTTCGCTATTTAACCCTCTCATCGGCGAGCACCACAGCACAGACAAAAATGCTGCACGAAATTCTTCTAGCATTGCTCGGATACACCGGCGACCTAATCGTCGACGAACGAGAATGCCGCGATTCCCTCGGAATTCTCTCTCCTGATTCTCCGGTCGCCGATATTCCCTCCTTCAAGCTCGCCCCTGACCTCTCTTTCATCGCTCCCAGTGACAGGTTTTCCTTCATCACTCTCTCAATTTCTTTCTTCAATTGTAGTAATTTTGAGTTAATTGTTGAATTTTTTTGGAATTGTGGTATTTGGTTGATTTTCCAGGGATGTGATTGAGAGGATTATTTCGTTAGGGTTTTACTACAGGGAGTTGGATCGATTTGCTACGAAATCGAGGAATTTGAGCTGGATTAGATCGGCGAGTGCCAATGTATCGCCGTTGGAAAGGAGTGAGGAGATTTCTAAGAGGAAGAGTGAGAATCAGAGTGTGTATCGGCGTGCTATTGCTAATGCTATTGTTGAGATTCTTTCGGTTTATCGGTCCGCGGTTTTGCAAATTGAGCAGAAGTTGTTGGCGGATGCTCTTCCCATTTTGGCCACTGTTACTCAGGGCCTCAATAAGGTTGTTATTTCATCTTTTTTAGGCTTAATTCTTGTGGAATTTTATGTAGAAGTGAAAGTAATTTTCTTCTAAAATTAGGTGTAGTATACCTTATTGAAAT